CTTAATAATCTTATTGGGGTAACCAAGACTGATCGCAGGATGTACTAGTTATGAATTTTCCTTCCCTGCTCCACAGCAGCTTAGGTGGTCAGTATACAAAGGAAGTTTTGTTTACTTATTGAATCACATCTTTTGTTCCAGTCCATATATGGATATTTGAATCCATTAAACATTCTTGCTCCCTATAATCTAGAGCAAATCAAGGACTTACATTCTGTTTAAATAGTTTTAAACTCTGCAGTGCTTGTTCTCCACACCATTCCCTCCCCCCACCCCCACACACGTGCACACCTGTACCTCTGTTCTGGCCTGTTATCTAATCTCCCAGATGGTAATTAAACTAATGTGGGTGTGACTGGAATGGTTTCAGTTATGGAGCCTTGTTGTGTATTTTAAGAAACCTTGCTTTCACTAACATTCCCCCCACCCCCCAATTGCTACCCTTTGTGCAAACAACTTAAACGCAATTAAATGATGCAAGTGACAGAGAATGCCTTGAAGGTGTAGCAAAGAATAACATGCAGGTGTTCCGATTCGACTCCAGATTGCAAAGGGGCTTGTACAGACTTTATGCTCAGTACAATTCTTGAGTTGGATAAAGTAGATTTAAAACTGGACTAAGATCCACTGATGCTGCACTCCCCTGCACATCCCCTGCCCTTGGCCAATTCTGGCCTTCTGCCCCATTGCACCTTTGGCAGCCATGCTTTCTGCCACTCTACCCCAAACCTCTTAATCTCTGCCTCATCTTCTTTGTCTATATTCAGATCATAACTGAAGACCTTCCCTTGCTCCCCTGCTTGAAACAATACTATTGCTAAGGGTGCCATCACCACTTCTGCAAGGAGGGCTCTGTATAAATGCGAGTTGTTGAACCCCCATCTGTCTGCACATTGAAAGTCCAGTCATTATTCAAACAGACTTCTATTTTTGTGTTGAGTTTAGGTTAACATGATGCGTTTCTGGGTTTACACAGTTGTTACGGTCTGGAATGCACTGCCTGAATGGGTTGGTGGAATTAGATTCAATAACAACTTTCAAAAGGGAACTGGTACAGGAAAAACTTGTAAGGATATGGGGAAAGAGCGGGAGAGAGTTACTGATCGGGCAACTCTTCCAAAGAGCTGGCACACACCTGATGGGCCAAATGGCCTCCTATTCTATTATAAGCTTGTACTCTGGGTGTGGTGTAAGCAGTTTCTGCAACAGATTTTGGAGTAATCGGCCACTTCTGAGAGTTTGTAAAAGATCTCATTACTCTGTGTCCTGTGAAGCTCGTGCCCAGCCTTTAAGTATTAAAGCAGTAACACAGTTGATTTTCTCTCACTGTAGCTGGGCTAATTCTTGCCTTGTATTTTTGGTCCAGGACCTTTCATGTCGGGAGAATATCCCAAAGCATTTCGCAGGATGTACTGTAAATTGCAGTGGCTGTTGTGGGCGAACACAGTAGCCAATTTGCACTTATATAGTGCCTTTCATGTCGGGAGGACGTGCCAAGGCACAGGACAGTTCAGTGTTTGTACCCAACATTCTGCAAACAGCAATAATAATAATCCTTGCATTTGATATAGCGCTTTTCACGTCGGGAGGACATCCCAAAGCGCTTCACAGAACACTGTAAAGTGAATTGACAGTATATTTGTGGGCGAACGCGGCAGCCAATTGTGCACAGCAATGTCCCACAAACAGTCGTAGATTGAAAATGACCCATTTATTATTGTTTTGGGTTTTGGAGGGATTATTATTAGGCTCTGTGTGGAGTAAGGAAACTTGCCCGAGGTGTCACCCTGACCTGCCGGGGATTGAACTCAGATCTCTCACTTGCAAAGCGAGTGCTCTAACCACTGAGCCACAGGACTCCACAAAGTGAAGTGAAGCAATCAAGTCAATAACCAGTTTTATTGGGGGTGTTGGCCAGGACACCAGAAGAAACTCAAGGTCTTTACTAACTTAACTGACCACAATAGGATTACATGTCCTGTAGCTCAATGGTTAAAGCACTCACCTCACAAGCAAAAGACGTGGGGTTCGATTCCTGGCAGGGTGAAATGTTGGGAAAGTTTCCTTACTCCATATACTTCTGTTTACCCAGCAGTAAGTAGGAACCTGGTTGTCCTGTAGAGTGGAGTCCTGTAGCTCAGTGGTTAGAGCACTCGCTTTGCAAGCGAGAGACCTGAGTTCAATTCCAGGCAGAGGGCGAAACCTTGGGCAAGTTTCCTTACTCCACACAGAGCCTAATAATAATCCCTCCAAAACCCAAAACAATAATAAATTGGTCATTTTCAGTCTACGACTGTTTGTGGGACATTGCTGTGCGCAATTGGCTGCCGCGTTCGCCCACAAATATACAGTCAATTCACTTTACAGTATATTCTGTGAAGCGCTTTGGGATGTCCTCCCGACGTGAAAAGCGCTATATCAAATGCAAGGATTATTATTATTTATTGTTAGTCGATTGGCAGATTGCATTTCTCAGGGTAATAATTGCTTAAATATATAATAATCAATTGGTCACTTCAATCCACGACTGTTTGTGGCTCACTGCTGTGCGCAATTGACTGCTTCGTTTCGCCCACAAAAATACAACCAATTTCCTTTACAATATATTCTGATGTGCTTGGACATCTTGAAGATGTGATAAGCAGCTATATCAAATGTAAGGATTATTATTATAAACCAGTGGAATTCATCCTAATAAGATCGCCAGTAATTGTAATATGTATAAAAATTGCAAGGGTATAGATTAAGACTGTATTTTAGCAGACATGTACACAACAATTATCTTTTGCTTATATGGAGTCTTTCAGATAAAAATATATAACGCAGGTTACATTTGCTTAAGTGAGATTTTTGTTTTTCGCACACTCGGATTGGCTTGAACCTCGAGCAAATTGCTTGAGATTCTATTTTGAGCTTCAGCTGAAGGTGAGCAGCTATTGCAAAGGTACCAGACTGGAGCCTTGTTCCTACTTGTCACAACTTGCTCAGTGTAGTAAAGTGGCTTGTGTTAAATTTCTGGAATTGTGAATAAATTCCATTGCTCTCATGTGTTCAGATTATTCAAATCTGTGGAATCACAACTTTGCCCTAATTGTGCTAACTTAGAAGCTACTAAGCTTTCCTACTGTTGCATGTTGAATATTCCGAGGCCACAACTGGAGATGGGTTTGATGTCTGGTAAAGTATTTGACCTCCACGCAGAAGCCAGCAACAACAAGTTACGTTTGTAAAGTGCCTTTTACGTCCCAACCACCAATGGCGGTGTGGGCAGGAGGTGTGGAGCAGGCTCAGTGGAGGGAATGGACAGGTTGATATGGGGTCAGCAGCAACTCAATGGCTCCATGGAAACTTTTGGCTGAGAAACTTGTCACTTCTGCTGACCCATGAAGAAAAGGTATAATACTTATATTTGATAATAGTCCCTTTTGTGGCTGTCTCAAAAATGCTTTGCAGGACACCATGTAAAGTGTAGTAACTGTTTTTGTTAGGAAATGTGGCAGCCATTTTGCAGACAGCAATGTGCCACAAACCGCCATGATTTTCCTCTCTGGGAGATTGTTGGCCAGGATACAGAGGAAATCATTTTTTATATTATATAAAAATATAGCGCCTTGGAACCTTTTATATTTATCTGTGCAGGCAGACAGGACCTCGGTTTAATAGCTCACCTGAAGGACGGAACCCCTGACAATTGCACTAATGTTTTTATCTGTAGAGAATTAAAGTTTGATCTTTCTGGCATTTTTTTTCTCTCTCTCTCTTCATATTCTTCAGTTTACAATGCAGAAATACTGGCCACATGTGAAACCCTTGCAAGATCTGGTTGTCAAGACACTTTGGAAGTGAAGCCCATGGTACATTATCTCCATGTACAAAGCTCACTCTGTCCTCTGACCTGCCAAGTACCCATGCCAGTCAGTGGCACAGATGCTTCACTAACAATTCCAAGATCTTAGCTGACTTGGAAAGGCCTCTGCAATTGATTGAATAGGCAGCGTGCTTGTATACTGTGTTTCTCTTTCCCATTCTCCAACTGGAATGTCAGTGTACTCTTTTGCGTGTTAATTAAAGCACCCAACTTTTTCTCCCTTTTTACTCTCTCTCTCTCTCTTTCCCCCCACCCCCCTTCCAAGATAGGTAAAGGAATATCGAATAACCTGTTTACCAGAGTCTTTGCAATGTAAAATGTTTCTATGACCTCTGCATCGTCTTTGGGAATAGTTCTTGCCATGTAGATACTGCGAGCCTGGCATTTTGCAACTCAACGTCTCATTATGCCACAGTAATTCCACTAATTGGAGCAACTGGGCTTGGCAAGTCATCAATCCAGCTCCGAAAAGGCTAAGTCTTCACTTTCTAAAACATGAACTCAGTCAGGCAATGGACAGCACTGAACTTCTCAGAACTTTGATCCAGACAAAATACCCTCACCATTGCATTGTGCGTGGAGCGAGGGAAATAAATGGGGCTATAAACGTGAAAGAGCTGAGCAATAGCTTCTAAACGTGTGGAATGTAAACTCCACACTGGCTGCTCTGTGCACCAGCCTCTTCCCCAGCATCAGATGTTTCTCTCACCTGGTGGCCTGGCCAACAATTCCCCAAATAAAAAATTGGTCATTTGTTTCATGCCTGTTTGTGGGACACTGTTGTGTGCGAATTGGCTGCCCACAATATATGCAGTCAATCCACTTTACAGTATATTCTGAATATACTGAGACGTCTGAATGATGAGTAGGCGCTATATCAAATGTAAGGATGATTATTATTATTTCTGAAATGTTGCTGCATCCTATTATACGTGTTGCCACGTTTGCCAGCAAAAAGTCTGTTTCACACTATTGTGTGAAGCACTTTGAGACATCCTCCTGATATGAAAGGCCTTGTAGCAAACGTAAGTATCTCGTGTATGAGAGTGCTTTTCTGTATTTCTGCGGTGACATGAATACCTGGTTCAAGCGGGATTAATCGTGAAAATAATTGGTGAAACTTCTCTTTCAGCCAGTTGGGTTTGTTACCTTTGACAGTCGTACCGGAGCTGAAGCTGCTAAGAATGCACTAAATGTAAGTTTATAAACCATGTCCATTCAAAACCCCACTCCCTTTCCTTCCAAACAATTTGAGGTGGGGCGGGGTGGGGGAAGAAAGAAGAGGGGAAGAGAGAATACATCCTCTTATGTCTGAGACGCTACCCCCAAGTGAAATGGCAACAACAACTTGCATTTATATAGCGCCCCTCTCAGAGCTGAAAGATGCTAAATAAATGCAGATTATTTTCTTTTTAAATTTTTTTAATATAAAACTATCACTGATCTGAAGTTGCATCCCACAGGGACTTCATTTACTCCAGATTCCTATGCTCGCTGGGTCAGACTTAAAGGTTAGATTTCGGGGAGCAGGCAGGCAGCGTCCTAGGCCTGGGGAGACGGCTAGTAAGACACCCTTGTAGAAAAGTGACATCTCCTACGAGCTAGCTTCCTATCTCCCCTTCTCGTAGCCAACCACTATGATGGTTTGAACGCAGTTACCGGTAATTAATGGGTGCCCTTGGGTGACTGGGCTTCAGATACTCCAGTATAAATGAAGTGCTGGGTTTATTTGTTTCCTCTTGGCTGTACTCAATGTTTTGGAGAAATATGATTGGGTGGTTAGCTGTCACCGCTCTACCAATATGTGGTCCTGCTGTGCCCACATTTTGGCATCGGCTCAGCTTTGCATTTTCTGTACAAGTGGCTTTGTTCAAACCCAGCTTTACTCATTTGTGCACTTCAAAGGGAATCTGGAGCCGTCCAAAATCTTAACCCGCCAGCGGATTTCTATCGTTCATGCACTGCGATCTCTTTGTGAGAGACTGCTTATCTGAAATGTGCAGTCCTAAGGTTGCCTGGATCGGTGTGAAGTGTTGCTATAAAGTGAGATGCTATTTTCCCCTCCGCCCCTTGTCTTTCTGTCTCTCCTCAGGGCATTCGCTTCGATCCTGAGAACCCCCAGACTCTGCGGTTGGAGTTTGCAAAAGCCAACACAAAGATGGCCAAAAGCAAGTTGATGGGGACACCCAATCCCACAAACATGCACCCTGCTCTGGGAGCACACTTCATTGCACGAGACCCTTGTAAGTATTGGCTCAGATGTTCAAGTTCCGTTACCAGTGTAAGCTAAATCTATCTAGTTACATTTTCTCAGTGACCGTGCTATGTAATCGGGGCCGGTAGTGTTGTCCATAAAGTGGGGACTGTTAAGGAGCATTGGTCCTTCTGCCCCTTTAGGTCCCTAGTGCTGCTGCCCACCACTGCACTTCATCCCGCAAATAAAACAGGATTCTGATCATGGATTTCTACACACCCAGGTATTCCCACCCCATGTGTGGCTGAGAGGTGCACTTCTGCGGGATGGAGGCCGGTGTCTATAATGAACTCACTTTTCTTTAAATCCTTCCCCACTCCCCCACCCCCCACAAAGAAAAAAATCTAAGATGACCCACCGCACCATTTGAGGACTCAACTGAACTGCTTTGGAATCTGCTCATTGATGCCACGTTGCTGGATCTTTTCTTGATCCGAGATCCTTGTTGAATGGAAGCCTGGCTCCCCAGTGGGCTTTTGAGAGACTGTTGGATTTATATGCCAATGATATTCTATTTGGAAGTTAATGCTAGATAAGGAACTGGGGGTGGGGGAAGTCACTCCAAATGAAGCTCAATTCTACACTATGTTAAATATGAAGAATTACAAGCTAAGCTGAGATGGAAATTTGGTTTCGAGACCAAAGTGGCAACATGTTCTTTGCTGCGGACTCCCTCCATAGCGTCCCATTGTGTTCTCAGATGCTCTCACACCTATTTTAGATAAAACTGATGGTTTGGTGCCTTCACCTGATAAAACTGCACTTGTTGTTTTCTCCCCCCAATTGCAGATGACCTTGCAGGGACAGCACTGATCCCTGCATCTCCAGAGGCCTGGGCACCCTATCCACTGTACACTGCCGAACTGACCCCTGCCATTCCACACGCTGCGTTCACCTATCCCGCAGCTGCTGCTGCAGCCGCTGCACTTCACGCTCAGGTAACTAATGGTAGCCTCGTCAGCAATACACCACTTCCAGCACCTCTCTGCACAGGGCACAACTTCTTCCTCTTGAGCCCAACCTCCCATGAACAAACCTTTGGTACCTAAACTAGATTCTTACTAATACACTAGCCAAATGGGCTGCATCATTGCCAACTCATTGCCTTGAGTCAAGATTTGCATGGACCACTCTACTTTAGCAGGTCTAAGGGCAGTAAAATGACTAATGGTGCAGTAACTAGCCTAGAATGAGCTAGAAGTGCATTTTCTGGCGACAAAGGAACTTCCTGGATACCTGGAAGCAAGGCTGGATTACTAAGTAAGTACCTTTTCCTCTTCAATGTTACTTTTGTTCAATAGAATTATTTTAATAAAACTGTGGTTCCACAATTATTTAACAAATGCCACCATTTCCTCTACAGCAGTGTGTTGGGATTGGCTCTGAAGGTTTTGGGCTGGGATTTGTTTCTGGTCTGTAAATGCTGGTTCAACACAGCCCTAATCTTGTAAAAGAATTAACAGTCCTTATGACGCGTTTGCTCATGTCTTGTCAGTCCACGACTCTGTTACAACTATATTGGCCACTTTTATCATTGGATGTGATCTTTGGCAAATGAGCACAAATTGGTATTTTCAGTGTTGACCACTCAGGCCTGTGCTAAATAATCTTAAACTTCTGCACAAAGAACCACCTCTTTATTCCATCACCTGTGGCTATCCGGCTACTTTTTGACCGGACACGTGGTAACAAAGTGTGCTTGAGAAGTTCTCTCTTTGTGTGCCCTGATTTTCTTTTCCCCAAGAAGTCCATTGATGGCTTCCAAGCAACTGAAGTCTCTTAACAGCCCTTTATAAGGAGCAGTTGGCAAGGTGGACTGAAAGGGTTGTCTTCCAAACCTGAATTATTGCTATGTGCAACCAGTCAATCATTTGACTCCTGTTGGTATTAACATCTAATTTGCTTGGCTATTGAAGGTGTCGATGTATTCATTGGCTTGTCTAATGCAGAGTCTGTTTGCAAAGGAACTGTATCAGCCACCCAGTGCTTCTATGCTCATTAACATTCAGGAATAAGGATGGAATCGATGCTTGAATTTTAATCATCCCTAGATTATGACTGGCTTCACCAGTAGTAATGCCCCTCAATGGAAGAACCTACAATTAATCTGTTGTACAATGTACAGGGTGTTCACAAAGTCCTGTTACCCCCATGTGCATTTTTTTTCTACAGAGCACTGACCAACAACTGAAACCTGTGGAAGAATGATGCTAATTGTATTTAGAGGTACTTAGTTGTATTCAGTACAAGTGTTTAACTAGATCTAGCCATCCAGAGGATGGGTGAGAGTGAGCGCCATCATTTTTGTGGCAGATAATGATCCGTCGCCATGTTCGGTATAACGTCGATGGAGTTAGTGAGAAGGAAGTTGTCAGACATGGTTACACTCGACTCTTCTGCAACAGAATATAAATTTGTGGTGAGAAAAAAAAACGAGCGTTGATAGGACTTTGTGAACACTGTAGGTCTATTACTGTTGTATATTAGATCAAAAACTCTGGCAAAGCATGGTATTCCCAATGTGGAAAGGTGGTGCTTAAAGGGGCACAGTCTTGGAAGTGTCTGGCAAAGCTTGTGAACACAGCACAATGCCTACTTAACACGTTGCTTCACTTGCATGTCATAGTAATGGCGCATGGCACTTCTCCTTTCCTGAGCAAGCTTGGCAAATGCTTCATGAACATGGTGCCCTTTTAACTACCTACCTTACTGCTTTCCATTGGCTTCACCCAACGTGGCTGGCTTTTGAACCCTATTTTCAGTTCGTTTGTAAACTGGTGCAATTGCTCTGAGGGCTCCTGTAACCTGTATAACTGGGTATGGAGTATCTGGTTCAGGTTAACATTGGCTTCTGTGGCTTTTGCATGGTTGTATCCTGGAAAGTCTTGGCAGTTTTTCTAACTGTTGGAAATTGCATCCCAAGCTTCTGTGCAATTAAGAGCTCTGCCATACTTAGAACGGGAAGAGCCCAAGATGAACTGATCGAAAATGGGTAAATTCAGATCAAATCTGCGGAGACTTTACATCAATGAGTGAGTAGTAAACATATGGAACAGGTTCCCTAGGGGACAGTGGAAGCAGAACTGCTGTTTGTTTCAACAATCAATTAGATGGATTTCTGCTAGAAAATATCTCAGGATACAGTATATAGTTTGGGACACAAAAGGTCAAACGACTGGATGGTGGAAGGTGAACTTGATGGACCTTGGTCATCCTTCACCTAGCAAATTCTTAGTTATGTTCTTAACTGCAGACCAAGATGCCACTAATGGCCGCCCATCTTGTTGGGAATGTTCAGACTGAGGGTAAGAACTCTTCCCATTCTAACCTAGTGAATATGATTTCAGTCTTTCTTGTAAACAGTTCCTCCTTGAGAAGGGAGGAATTGTCCTTCTAAATTCTTGCCCCTAAATTCCCAAATGTGCACAATCCCAAACTTCATAAGCAGCGAGGGCTTGCAGGTAAGTGTAGTGTGAAATGTTTCCATTGAGTTTATGTGGACTAACTAACGTTCTCTTTCTCCCCTTCCCCTTTCCCCTAGATTTGTTGGTTGGATTGCAATTCTGCCTACGAGTAAAACCTTTACTGTAATTGCCTGTGTGGCATTGATGCACTGAGTGGAGGAATATAGACTTCCTTACAGGAGGGTCTGAGTGTTGTCTGTGGAAACAAAAGACTTGGAATGTTGTTGATGTGTGAGGACCCAGGAAGAGGTGCATGGCAGCAGTGTGGCGTATTAGAATGAGAGACTTTAGAATGAAGGGCAGGGAAAGCATTACTTACAGTTCCGTTTCTTTGAAACACTTGGGAAAATACTGATGCTTAAATATTGCAATAAAGATCACGATTTGCTTTCACAACCCAGGAGTTATTTTGGAGCTGTTAATGCTAAAGATTAAAAGGCAGCTTTGTTCTGAGAAACCCATTTTTGTAGCAAGTGCTATGACCATGATGCTTCTACCTCATGTGTGCAGTAATGTGACAACAACCTAGCACTGCCTGAACTAGGGGCTAGAGCACTCTGCTTTGTACAGCTTTCTCTCCTCTTAGTCTGAAGCATATTTGGATGGAGAAAGATGGAGTGTTCAGACGGTGCTGCAAGTGTGGTTGGCTAGTCCTAAACTCTGAGCTCACTTCCAGGGTTCAAGTGACTTTCTACATGAAACATTGAGGGGATTGAAAGGGCTTGCAGTGTAGAAATAAGTTAACCTTGTTCAATTTGCTGCCAACTGTCAGAGATAGGAGGATAGAGTGCCTCAATTATACTTTAATAATCCTCACATTCAATATTTGTCTAGAACAGGGTGGTCCCAACTGGCTAATTTCATTCCCTTTCCCCTCCCTCCATTTTATCTGGCCCATCCGCTCCCTCCATAACCTATAAATGTTATGTTTCTGGGAAGGAAACCCAAATGTATTGCTTATGCAGCCAGCGGATGTTCCTCAAATAGGGCTTCTGGCCCTCGGCAGCCAAAAAGCTGGAACCCTCCCGCCCCCGGCCAAGAGCATCAAATCAGATTCACCAGCTTCCTTGGAATTGTGTGTAGTGACTATATGGAAGGCTAACATAGCAGCCATGTGCAGTGGAAGATCCAACAAACAGCCATAATAGTAATCCTTACATTTGATGTAGAGCCTTTCTTGTCAGATCACAGGATGGACTGTAAGGTGCAGTGACTGTAATTCATAGCGAACCCAGCAACCAGTTTGCTCACAGCAATATCCCACAAACAGCTATGAAATGAATGACCCATTTTTATTTGGGGGGAATTGTTGGCCAGAACATTAGGAGAGAAACTCCCTTATCTTTGAAATAGTCCTTCAGATGAAACATTAAACCGAGGTCCCTTCTGTCTGATCTGATGGCACTATTTGATAAAGAAGCATTTCTCTGTGTCCTAGCTGACAATTCCCCAGGTAAAATTGGTCATTCATTCAATGGCTGTTTGTGAGATATTTTGCAGGCCTCTGGGGAGAGAGCGGGGGAATGGGATTGATTTTCAAAGAGCCGGCACACACGATAGGCCGAATGGCCTCCTTCTGTGCTGTATAATTCTGTGATATTGTGCACAGCTTGGCTGCTGAGATTGCCTACAAAGTCACAACACTTTACAGTAAATCGCTTAACTTTTTGAGCTAATAAAGCTCTATATTGAGTGCGACGATTAGATTTTTTGATCCCAATTGGCTGCCCTTTTGTCATTGTACTAACCAAGATTTGTCTAAACGTAAAGCAGATTAGAACTGCAAATGCTTCCTGGCTTATCTTAAACCAGTGAAATCAGCCAGTCTTTTCAATGAACTTTTTGGAAGTGTACCTGCCTTTTTCATGATACATTTTATGGTTGAACAATGTGCTTAATTATACGCTACGGATTTTCTTCACAAAGTAGAAGCACGGCAGAGCTGGAGAGGTTGGATCTTAATTTGATAAACCGTTCCCATAGCAAAACATGAGGTTAAAGATGAAAAGGTCCTGCGAAGCGTTACACTGGGTGAACTTTCAATCGTAGTGTGTGTGAGAACTGGTGCCTGGATTGCTCAGACTTGGCTGGAACAATTTTAATAATACTTGTGTTTGATGAATGTCTTCAGGACATCCTCCATGTGTGGAAGTGCTTCACAGGTCTTGACTGTAAGATAGTGACTGTTTAGTGAGAAAACGCAGCAGCTAATTTAATTTGCACGCAGCAGCATCCCGCAAACAAATGACCGTGGAGTGAGTGACAACGTAAATTTTAACTGGATGATTGTTGGCCAGGATGTTGGAAGAAACCTCCCATTTACAGTACTGCCTGCAGGATCCTTAACAGCTGCCTGAAGAGGCACTAAACGGACCTCGGTTTAATGTCCCTCAGCACTGCCTGGAGGCTGAGTTCAAACTCCTGATGTGGGACATTTGTTCATTGATTTGAAATGAAACGGCCAGGGCCAAACTTTTAAGACTTGGGTTTAAATCAGCCTCTTTGTGATCTAAGAGTTTTATCCAAACTGGTGTTTAGCACCTGGACAGGACAAGGTCAGTGCCGATTTGCTAACATTGTCTCAAACCGGAGTGTAGGAAGTTCATTCGTTCCTCTTGACTTTCCTTCGCTTTAACCCCTTATGTGATTGTGCTGTTTCCCATAGTATTCTGAATATCCAATTATATTAACACAGGGCACATGTTGTCCACATCTTTTTCTTGTCACCAATTGTTTTTTTAAGCAACTTCTCATGATGATTCTTTCCCAGCCTAACTAGCTAGCACTTCCCTCCGTTTGGCTTGAGTCATTGAATGCTACTGAAGCAATCTTGGCATTTTGATGCCTAAATGTTCCTCGCCAAGCTTCATTGCTTGCTGTAGGTGACCACAGTGACCAACTTGTGGACAGCAATGAAGGAAGATAAGAATAGCTGGGCAAAAAAAGACAAAAATATCCATCTGTTCTGCCTCCTACCATCCTACAATGATGGAGAATTTCAATAGCAATTAATTCTGTAGCAATGTCCCACAAACAGCTGTGAAGTGACTCGTTTATTTTTTTTCTCTAGATTATTGACCAGGCCCTTAGGAACCTCTCTCTCCAAATGGTTATTATGCTCTCCCTTTTCTATCTGAAAACCTTTTTTTTGTTTTTTTTTTTAAAAAAAAGCTACCTTTTTGACCGTGCCTTCATCAATCTCTTTACTCGTGTATTCAGTATACTTAAAGTGCTGCCTCACTGCTTTACAAGAAAGATGCTAAGTGCTCGTCCAAGGATTTTTAGCCACCTGGACAGGCAGACGAGATCTCAGCTTGAAGGGCCACATCTCCTATAATCAACGCTCCCTCAAACACTGGGCTGAGTGTCAGCCTATATTGTACGAGCTCGGAGTTCTGTCATGGGGCTTGTATCCACAGAGGCGAGAGTGCGGCTGAACGAGCTGGCTGACACCTGGATGATGAACCATAGCCACAAACACCAATTATCCTCTTCAGTCTGGTGAGGATGTCTCAAGGGGACCTTCTAGAGGTGCATACAATTTTAAATGGGATTGAAGAAGTAAACGTAGAATACTTTCGGATACATCAAGACAGTAAAACAAGAGAACACAGGTTAAGCATTGCAAAGAACAATTTCAGGACTGACACCAGGAAGCTTTCCTTTACCCAAAATGTGTCATTTTACACTGTCCTGTGAAGCGCTTTGAGACATCTCAATCTATATCAAATGCAAGTATTATTAATCAACAATTGGAACAGGTTACTAGGAACGGTATTTCAGACCAGGACACTGGGAATCATTTAAAAAGCTCGGGTGGGGTCGGGGAGGGGATGATTTCTGGAGGGATGAGCCGAAGGATCATTACCCTCAAGTGCTCTGGGATACTACCCTACATGAGAGGAGCTACATAAATGCAATTTGTTGTACTCAATATATGATCTGCAGCATACTTCCTGGATGGACATCGTGGTCAAGACATCCAAGTGAGCGAATGAGCCCTCAGCCACGCTCCAAACTTTGCTGGGCTTAGAGGCCTCTTGGGGTTCAACCTGATCAACAATTTCATGTAGGAATGGGTAGAATGACCTATTACCAGAGTCTGCCCCCACATTCTGGAACTCCATCCCTCTGCCTCACCCCCTCTCACCTCTTTCAAGTCCCGTCTAAAGACCTTCCTCTTCGGCAACCCCCTGCCCTCCACCCCTCCTGACTCCAACTCCCAGCCCGGGTCCAAATGCACCGATTGTCCAGTGACCTGGGACATCTTTCTGATGTGAAGGGTGCTATACAAGTGTAATTTTTGTTGTAAAATTAAGCCATATCTTGGTGCTCTCTTGCAATGTGAAATGAGGGTGTGTGTTTTCTACGGGGGTTTGCTCCCAGATACCTCCTGCCTCAGACTTGCTTTAAATACAAAGGGTAACAAATGGCTTCTGTAATGTGCAGCTTTGTGCAGCTTGAGAAACCAATTAAACAAATTGCCCACTGTAGACCCTGTGACTTCTCTGCATGCTTTAGAGGCCAGGTTTCAAAAGCATTCCAATCTCCATCATTCTTTCCTGACCTGTTGTAACTTTTCTCTTGGCCTGGCAGTGTGCCCAGCAATTAGATATACTTTTTTTTAAAAAGCACAAGACTTCATTGCTCAAAGCGCGTGTGCCTCAGCTTGCGCTATCTATCGTTCACTTAACAAGACATAGGTCATTTTCAAATGGGATGTTCTCCTGACGTGAAAGCCACTATACAAATGTAATTTGTTGTTGCTTTTAAGTATCATAACTCAAATCAAATACTTGAGTGCTATTTTAAAATGGATTTTTTTTAATATTGAAACATGAACATTTTTGGCCTTTGAAAGTTGGTCATCGTATACACCTCTAAAGCTGAGTGCTCCAGTTGCAGTGTGAATTGAGGTGTGTTAAGTATTTCACAAGCTATAATTAATAATAATAATCCTTGCATTTGATATAGCGCTTTTCACATCTTCTTGACATCTCAAAGCGCTTCACAGAATATGCTGTAAAGTGAATTGACTGTATATTTGTGGGCGAACACGGCAGCCAATTGCGCACAGCAGTGTCCCACAAACGGTCGTGGATTGAAAATGACCAATTTATTATTGTTTTGGAGGGATTATTATTAGGCTCTGTGTGGAATAAGGAAACTTGCTCATGGTTTCGCCCTGAACCCAGGTGTCTCGCTTGCAAAGCGAGTGCTCTAACCACTGAACTACAGGACTCCATAGCTCTAGCCAATTCTCTGGGATTCCAACAGGGCATATTAAACTTTAAATGGCAGACAGATTAAATTTTAAACTTGCTTTTTTTTGTTTCAATGTTCCGCTCTATTGCAATCTGAGGAAACTTGATAAAAATCCTTCTGGCATAATTTGAATATGGGTCCTTTTAGAGAACAGAAGGAGTTGGTGGAGACTTGTGGAGTATAAACACTAGCACGTCTTGCAGTGATTTAAATTTGGATATTTATATTGTTTGAACCTATTACATCTCATTCAGTATAATTTCAGGACACTAAAGTGTGTGGGGAGAACAGAGCTACTTCACAGGTGGAACATTTTGTAAATTAGCTAATCTACCACCAGACTATTTCATTAGGATAATGTCTTTATGCCAATGTGCTGAGGTTTTTTAAACACACATTGTTGTTTTATTTCTGGAAGACTCCATTGACTTCCTAAATAGGTGGTCATGATGCTTACAGGAGGAAGCCATTCAGCTCCTCGAGACTGTTCTACCATTCTGTAAGATCATGGCTGATCTGTACCTCATCTCCAAATACCTGCCTTTGTTCCATATCGCTTGATACTCTGACCAAACAAACATCTATCCACCTCAGTCTTGCAAATTTGAATGGATCCAGCATCCACAGTCTTTTGAGGCAAGAGAGTTCCAGATTTGTCATAATTGGCTTGCAAGCAGTAATTCCATTTTCTATATCGCCCCCATCCCAATTTGTCGGACAACCTGATGGCCACTCATCACATCTCAAAAGGGTGAAAATCCCAAGTGGATCCACTGGGATTTGAACCAGCGTATATAGTGCAGAATTTAATAGAGTGAGGCCCAAGGTAGATATCAGCACTTGGTCTCAGTGTAACTTTATCAGGTATTGTATCTTGTCTTTCAAAGCCCAAATTGTTTCTTGCAGATGCGCTGGTACCCTCCATCTGAAGCTTCTCAGCAAGGATGGAAGTCCCGTCAGTTTTGTTGAAGTATTTAGTAAGTATCCTACAGTCAACTTTAGGACTGGTGGGGAATTGAGTCTTTAGCATTCACTGTTGTATCAGCTAAGTTAGTGTCAATGACCATCTATAAACTTGCGATGTGTTTCCATGCTGGAATGTATTCATACTGCAACATTATTGGTAATGATGTTGAATGGAGCTAATGCTTGTGTATACAATTTTTTTTTTTCTGTTCACGTTCCAAGGTTAAAAAAGAGCTATACAGACGCACACCCCAACCCATAAAAACCCTGAAATATTCTTTTAAGGGCTTGTAACTATGTATATGATGCCTTCCAATTCCAGTATTGATTACCCAACTGGGTGTTGAAGCCTTTGTTTAGCTTGTAGAATGATGTGTTAACCATATTTCATTTGAAACTCTTTCATTTCTAGACTGCCCCTATCCAAGACATTGCTTCTCCATCGAGTGCTGTGCAAGGACAGACTGGATACGGGATTTGTTTTCAGGGTCACTTATGGGAATGAGCTTCAACTTTGCTTATTCCAACTACCAAACTTGGGAGCTATCTTTTGGAGGACTGTGGATTGAAGACTTTTACCGGTGGATTTTCACGCGGGAGAATATGTAATCTGACCCAATTAAACACCTGGTGCAAGGACCAGAGCAGCATGGTATCTTCCTGCAGAGCTGCAGAATCCAAGGTTAATATTGAATTGACGAACAGCTTAAGGCAAGACCATGTGAAATATGGGTGGCATGGACTGAATGCTGCATCTAATCTATTGTGTTTTTTTTGTATATGTGTTTGTACCTTGCAACCCTAGTCTTTAACCCCTCTTCCCCTCCCCTCTCTCATCTCGTGCCTCGTTCCCTCTTTCTGTTGACCTGGTTTGATGATTTTATAAAGATGGTTTGCAACAAAAGGTGGTTGACTAGTAACCATTTCAAGACTTTGTTTTAGGATTAAAAGCTTTTAAGCACCAGTTTCTTATTGCCATTGGACACACCTCCAATCTCCAACATCCAGTTGACAATCAGGAGATCTCACCGGTATGATTTGAAGTTGCCACAGCCTCAGAGATGGCCTCCCAGCTTGCTAACGCGTCATCTTTTCTGAAGAACCGATCGATCTTGCCAAATATCAGCTGTTCTTGTTTAAAAGTATTTTGAACAATATTGGGTACAAGTATTTTTGTACTGGTGTGATGAAGAATATTTATGCATCAAGGATTTTTTGTGCAATTAAAAACAAAATTGTAATCTGTATTATAACTTAAATGTTAGTTCAGTTGATATTGAGTTTGGAAAAAAAATCTGATTATAGCCCATATGGTAGTTTAAAAGTGCAATTGTATTGTGTTTTTTTTTGCTTACTTTTGCTTGGTGTTAAGTACTTAAAAGTATTAAGAGTGGTTAATGCTTGTGTAAGGACTGCAAGATTTATGATGTACGTTGCTGATCCTTCTAGAATGTGAAACTAGATTATAAAGACTGAATGTTAAATAGTTCCCGTAGTTGTGTATGATTCTGTGTTGGGGAAACCTAGGTTGATACAAAAGCATATTCTAGCTGTGTGTGGTTCTCATGCTGTTTTGACCACAGTAAATGTATTCATTGGCATTGTTAGTTTAGTGACTACCGAAGAGAATAGCTGAACATGATGGAGTCCTGACGTGAAGGCAACTAACCGGAGCAATTGGCTACCCGTGCACCTCTCTCGCCTTTCATTCCAGGGAGTAATTTGTAACGCATGTTCTGAAGCCGCACTCTTCAAATTTTAAATGGTGTTTTACTACCTAGCAGCTTACTAAGTCTCATTCCAGCACTCGCCTCACAAGTGAGAGGACCTGGGTTCGATTCTCGGGCAGGGAGAAACTTTAGGCAAGTTTCTTTATTCCACATACCTCTGTTTACCTAGCAGTAAGTCGGATGGTGGTTGTCAATCGATTGGCGGATTGCTTTCCAGGGGTAGTAATCCCACAAAAATGAATAAATATAACTTGGTCACTCAAATCCATAACTGTTTGTGGGACATTGCTGTGTTTGGCCCACAAAATATGCAATCAATTCACTTTACAATATTTTCTGTGAAGCACTTTGAGACGTCTCAATGACGTGATAAAGTGCTGTATCAAATGCTGTTATTGCTAAATTCTGATCAAAATCCAGGCTGCTTCCTACATAGTACTGTACATGAACTAAATCTCAAACTCAGGCCTACAATACTCATTTTGAGTCGATGCCTTAAAGTTCAGTTGATTCTTGATGCTGCTTACGAGATGTTGTTTTGTAGGCTTTGTTTTTAGTGCAAAGCCAGCTGTTTTTTGTCTCTATTGATTACTACACTCCCACTTACCCTAGTAAACTAGTCACTCCAAACCGGCATGTTCCTGGTTAGAGACGGATAGGTTTATATATATATGGGTTAGCATTTCACTTTATATAATGCAATCCATTATAAATATGCACATTTCTTTTTATTTGCAGAATAACTTAATTTGGCTTTCAGACATCAGTTACTCCTGATCCTCCATCACACCACTTGGATCTAGATTATTTGGACAGTTTTAAAGTTTAAATTAACTAATAGCACAAGATTGAAGCAAAAGCAATTTTTTTTAAGTCAAGTGATTATATAACTGGCTCTTGCACAGAACTCTCCCAGTGTAACCACAGGAATGTCGAGTCTAGTTTCCAACCCCAAAATAGTGATGCCTTTTTTGCCAACTATTGACATGAGGGTTCAGCGTGTGTAATGTAACATGTGTATTGCACTTGGTGTGAAGTAAACTATCCTGTATGGCTAAAACTAACTAGTACGGAAACATTTATTGAAGCCAAATCCTATACCATATGCATTGCTTGGCACCTATGATTGATGTGCTCTTCCTGGCTTCTCTATTCTCTCCATTTGATGTGCCTGGAAGTACATGTGATCTACAGTTGACGCTTTGTGCATTGGACGGAGACCATAGTTGGCTACAGTAAGTTACATATAACAAAGGGCGATAAAGCAGGTCTTGGGCTTAGCCTCAGTGTTGATCTGTGTATTTCAATGTGTTGGGGGTGGAGGGAAGAAGGATGTGGGGAAAAGAATGGAGATGAGACTACATACAACTTTTCTATAAAGTGTTGAATATGTATCACTATGTTTACATTTTACAGGTTCATCATTCAATGAACTGGGTTAGAAACATGTCCATAGTGATCCTTGTATTTAACCTGGCGCTGAATCAGAAATCCCAAAGAACTTTACTGTAAGGTGTAGTGACTGTATGTAGCTTCCATTCTGTCTGATCTGGCTGCAATCAATAATCACAAGAAGCTTTACCATTGGGACAGATCGAGTGCACTACTGTAAAAACAACTTTTTTTTAGCAAAGTCAGTTGGATAATAACTTTCCAAAGAGTCAATTAATAGTCATTATAATTGATCTGACTTTACCAAGTTGTTGCAATGATATTTTCTCTGGGTCAGGTTCCTGTAAGTGACTTCTAATAGAGGTGAGATGTTGCCTGTGTTAACACAGGCTCCATTTAGGAGGCAAACTTTTAGTTGATTGAACCCATCAGAGGTTCAACACTTTGTGAAATACTATTGATTTAATCTTGCACCAATTTTCACCTCAATCCCGTCATATTGACAATGGGAGCGGAGCTCTTGGTGGGAGAGTGTGCATGAAAGGGGCTAATCACTAAACTGAGGTTAGCAATTAATTAATCATTGATTAATTAATCAATTAATGATTACTGAGTTGGCTCCAGCCTCCATGTCCCCTGCCTCGCCTGCCCCACCATTGGCAGGCAGTGCCTTCTACCACTCTACCTCCACCCTCAGGAACTCCATCCCGTAGTTCCTCCGGCACACACCCTCCCTTACCTCCTTCAAGACCCGGCTCAAGACCCTGCTCTTCGATCGTGCCTTCGATCACCCTCCTCTCAATCCCCCACAGCGTGCTTTCTCAAAATATAAATTAGTCTAAATTGGGCAACTTCAGTCTCTGGAGAGGAGAATCTGTCCTAGATTTCTTTTGAACCTGGCAAAGAGTTGATTTTTGAGTTTTATTTGGGCCTGCGGGGTTTGGCAGGATTTTTAAGTGATTTTTAACAGCAGCCACCAAAAGGTGACGGTTCTGGCCTAAGCAGCTCTGAATGTGGGTTCAAACTACGTTCTGGGTCAACAACTACTTGAATTTATACAGCGGCCTTCACCCAGGGTAGCATCTCGGAGTGCTTCACAGTGGCGGAGCCCAATTCTTATAAGGGGGCGGGAGATGACTGTAGGCACGGTTGAAGAGGAATGCCTTCATTAATGCCTGCATTATCCAAAAATGAGGAAGGAGGAGGCAAGGTGACAGGATTGAGGGAGTGTGTTCCAGAAGTTTTGGAGTCTGGTGGCTGATAGCACTGCTGGCAATGGTGGAGGGACTAGGGACGAGCAGAAGGCTAGAGGTGGCAGGTAGCGGAGTGAAGAGTAACCAGTTCAGAGAGGGTGGGAAGGGATTTGTAGATTAGTGTGAAGATCTTGAAGTCTACTATTCTAGGATTAGTTGCCAGTGCAGTGCTCTGGGACACTACCCTGTGTGAGGGGTGCTGTATAAATGCATGTTGTTGTTGGGTGTATAACAGATGGGGCTGTGTTGTGTGCAGGAGGATTGATGGGCAGCAGAGTGGTTCTGGCTGCTACAGTTGTAATTATAAAGGCAAAGATTGTTGCCTCTTCTTCCAGCTCCCAACACAATGCTCCTGCTGCACGCATGCATGTCCATACATGGTCGCTCAGTGATGGTTTGGGGGAGAGCGACAGGAATGTAAACTGGCAGAACACCACAAAGAACAGCCAATTTCATCAGGTCACTCGGTGAATATCATCCAAGCAGTTTCAAATTAGACTTGTCAATTGGCTGCACACAACTATTAAACAGAATTAAAGGAACAACTCTGTTAAGTTGATGTACAGGGAGAGTTATTTGAAAATGTAACTTTTTTAAAAAAATGACATTTGATATAGCAACTTTCGCAGCAGGCAGATGTTTCAAAAGTACCTCGGGATATACTGTAATATGACTGGTTGTTTTTTTTGTGGACAAACTTAGCCACTTAATTTGTACACAGCAATCTCCTGCACAATGCTGGTGAAATGAATGACCAATTCTAGTGGGATATTGGTGACCAGGACACACTGAGAAGATCTGTAATGTCCACCTGAACAAGCAGATGGGACCTTGCTTAGACTCATCTACAGGAGTTCACCTTAAGCAATGCAGTGCTCCCACCCACTGTATGCAGAGCATCAGCCCACACTGAATTTCAAGTTCTGACTTGGGTGGGACTCAAACTCATAACCTTCTGCTTCTGAGGCGAGAGTGCTACCACCTGAGCTAAGCTGCCACACAAGTGTGTAAGCAGTGTATGCATAATCCACAGGAACTGCTCACCAGCATCTTAAACCATGTGTTCACTCCCAACTCAGCATTGGATATTCATGATTCCCACCTACTCTTTCTTGGCTTGTGTGGCCATTTTTGCTTTCATTTAACCCTTGGCCCCAAAATGGAAAATTCTTATTCACTTTTGATTAGGAAACTGCCCTTCAATATTTAATTAAAAATGATCAGCTTTATTTTAAAAAAAGTTCTTCCTCGATCCATTTTTCTTAACATTAAAGAGAATTGCATTCAAAAAGTATCAATACACCACGATTCTTGTCCTCAACCCCCTCCACCTGTGTGACCTCCTTCAGCCTGCTCCCTTCTTTCAGTGAAACCAGTTTGCTTCATGTCCCCTGCTCTTTGCCCTCTAATTGGCACAAAGCAACATTTCTAATTAGTACTGAATCTGTGAAATTGTCCTTGGGACATAAGTGTTCCATTGAAAATGGCCTCTCTTTAACTATTACATAGAATGTTCCACCATGGCAATGGGCCATCTGTCCCAATTAGTCCATGCCAGTGTGTGCACTCCAGATGAGCCTCCCCTCTCCCATACCCCTCTCTTCACTTCTGTCTAATTTTCAGTGTCTGCTCTTTTGACCTGTGCTCTCAGGCCAAGCTTGTGACACGTTCCAAGTCTCTGCTGAATTCTGACTCTTCCCCTGCTTTGAATTCCTGCTGTTATCAAAAACTTTACCCATTGCCTTAGGTAGAATTGTAGATAATTTAAAGTTCTCAAATCATATCAGGCGAGATTCAGATGAACCATCCTTTGCAAAGTTTTAGTTCAGACTTGATGCCAAATTGTAAACCCAGTTTCCTTTGGCAAATATTCAGTAATACATGTATTCAATCCAAATTACCATTCAATCCCAATCTAGAGAGATGCAGTACGACATAATTTAAAAGTGCCAATGATAATAACCATTCCATTGGCAACCATTTTATTGGCTTGCATTCCATTCCTTTACCTGTGATACCTAATGATTGAATGCTTTCAATATACAGGATCACCACAATCTCCCAACCTTCCTCCCATTCTTGGTTATTCTCTGCCTCTGGTATTTGAAGATG